GACAATGTATTTCTACGAAAATGTTATTCGTTATTATTTATAGGATAAATTTATATGTATTGCTATTATAAACCACCATTATTAAAAAAATATAAATCTCTAAAAAAAAATTGCAGCGGATTAAAAAGAAAGAAACTAAGTTAAAAATAAAATTCAATAAAAAATTAAATATGTTTTCAAAAATAAAATTCAATAAAAAATTCAATATATTTTTAAAAATAAAATTGTGGAAAATTAATTAAAAAATTTGTCGTTCTCTATTTTAAGAATGTCAAAAATATTTTATGTTTAGATCGCCTGTGTTTCACCAGCTCGTTCAAATGCCAACGAAACCTTAAACACCTTGAGGTATGCTGCGAGAGCGAAAAAGATTTCCACAAAACCCATTATAGTAATGGTAAGATCACGCTTGCTGCGATTTGGCAAACGCCGAATCTTCAAAGAAATATGAAATATATTTCAATGAAATGATGACTGCATAAATCTCATTTTCAGGATCCACGCGAAGCTCTGATTCTTAGCTTGAAACGAGAAGTTGGAGCACTTCAAACTGAGAACGAACATCTAAGACTGACGCTTCATCTTAACGAGGCTCAAAATATGATCCGTAGCGAATCCAAAAGTATATTAATCGCAAATTTTTAATATCTCTCATCGCCTCAATTATCGTTTTCAAAGATATATTCATATTAGGAACGTCAAACGCGAGAAATAATGAAGAACTATTAGCATAATTCTAAATAGAATATTAAATAAATTAAAACAAAAATTTTAATATCATAATAAAAATTTCGTAAAAAAGTATAATGAAAAGAACTTTAAAATAAATTTTTAATTTCAGAGATTTTGGTATATCCGATTATTGTTTCGTAAAATAAATATATTTCTTACGGACTCTTTTTTTTTTTAATTACTATTAGTTCATCATTGATTGACAAAAATTTTGCAGCCGATCGACGGATACCCGTGACACCGCCACCAGTAGATTTCGACAAATTAGCCGAGATGGAGAGCTCGGAACTGAGCCAATTGATCCGCGCATATATCACCGAGAACGAGGCGCTACGTCGCGAAAACGCAGAGCTCTACGCCACCCGAGAGCAGGTGATACGGGACCAGGATCTTGTTTGCCGGGAAAACGAGAGGCTACTCAGAAAACTGGAGGATGTAAACTCGTAAGTTCGCATGTTCATATTTCGATGAAATGCACAAACAAATTAAAAACAAATCATTAAAATACATTGTTTCTCGTTTTTACCGATTTTACGTTTACATCAAGCTTCTAAAAGAACTATTAATAGAGCTAATTATGCGTCTTGTCTATATAGTATTATATAATTTATATTTTAAGATAAACATGAGCTCTTTTATATAACAATATTTCCTATTTCATACTTCAAATACTTTTGTAAGATTAACAATATAACGTTTAATTTAAATCTTTTCTCAAATCGTGTATTGCATAATCCATATTTTGTGATTTTATTTTTTCTTTTTCTTCGTTTAGCGCTTTGTTTCGATGTTTAACGAATTTAGTTTAAAGTAATTTGTTATATATCTTATGATGTTTATATATATAGTGTGTGCTGTCGATCGCCTATAATACCAGCGAGGCCATCGTATTCGGCAGAATTATTGCGCGATAACAATAACGAAGACATACCTGGTGCAACTAATGTCTGGACTAATCCGAACGCTGCTCCCAGCCCGGTGTACTCCTTTTCGAGGGTATGATCCAAGTGCACCTGAAATATAATACATATAATTATAATATGTATCAACAGAGAAGGAGGGAAAAGAATTATAATATTATAAATACATACTAGATTATTACATATTTTATTAGATAATAATTAAGATAATAAATTATTATTATCTAATATTTTTATCGTAGCATACGATCAACAGTGGATTATACAGATCAGCCGGTAATATGCCGGAGAAGGTGCTCAAGGAACTTGACAAACGCAGGATTGTTGGTAGTTACAACAATATTGCCGAAGCTTACAAGGACAAGAGCAGTCACCGCCGGCACAATTCATGGGACAACAGTAATCGGCCCATGATCAGTCCAGAACAGAGAATCTCTCCAATAGATATAAATCAGTAAGTAACTTTAAATCTTATCGGAATATAACTTAATCCTTAAATTAATTAATCCTTAAGATTTTAGATAATCGTGATTATATAATAGATTTTTACCCTTTATTAATTGTTATTATATATAATTATTTATTATTATTCATCATTTTTATGAAAAAATGATAGATTGTAAAAATCATAAATGTGGTAGCGTTTGCAAAAGGCTTATAATTGTTTTTATCTGTATTTACTTTTGTTGTTATATATTTTGTTATTTATATATATCGCATTTTTATATTTTAATTATTATTCTGACTTATTTCGTAAAATTATTTTTGAAAAAGTATTCTCTAAAAATATAGTTACTATAAAAAAGATATTGCCCGAGTAAGTATAAATGTATGTAAGGAATTTGCATTGAATTGTATCAGAATGCATCAAACGTCGTACCTAAGCGATCATGTGTCTCCATATCAGCGACCAAAATTTTTGTTGCGTTGAATTGATTAATCTATTAATTATGAAATCTAAGCAATTTCAATTTCAAAGACGCGAAAACAATTCTCCAACTAAATTTTGCTTCAAAATTAAAAATTTATATATCATTCTTCATCAAATATTTTTTTATCCAATAAAATACACTTGTAAATGTAATTTTTATATTAAATTTTATTTTTACAAGAATTAAAATTTGCGTATCCTAGAATTTCTACATAAATGTTAAATGATGTGGAATCCAATCAACCTTATATGTCAGTTTCAGAAAGACATAAGAGTGAAAAGCTATATTTAATTTTCATCTCTACGCATAATTTTACGCTTTAATCTCTTAGTTAGAGATGTGAGACGAGAGTCCCCCATCTCCGAATTACATTTCGTGGAAGACACTCTTATCGTTGTCTAAGGCACCACGTTTGACGCTTGCCACCCGTAAGCCCCGATCCCGAGAACAAAAACGGCTAAACTAACCGAAGACACGCGCGGTGACAGTCAAAGTCGAAGGACGACCTTGCGGCGTACCTCGACGGTTCCTGAGGAGGGCAAGCCTCCGCCGAAAACGGTTAATCAGCCCACCGCGATGCCCATCGAGCAATCTAACAGCTCGCCCGATTCGATCATGAGCGGTCCTCTTGACGTGGGTGGCACGTCCGCCCCCGACACCGCGGACTCGGTCGCCCCCACCGTCCCCTTTCCACCGATATCGCACTCACCTTCGTCATCCGCGACTTCGGAAACGGAACGGCAGAACCGGAAGTCGCAGTCGCGGGTCAGCAGCGCTAAGAGGAACAAGGACGAAGAGAAGGGCAAGGACGTAGAAAAGAGCAAGGACGAGCAGCGGGCGTTCGGAAGTCCGGTCTCCGTCGACGACGAAGACGCGCGATTTTAAGAGCGTGAACCTGGAGAAAAAAAATACAAATGATCTCTTATTCTCGATATTACTCGAGGAAATATTATCGAACGAGAAGTCTTTCTCCTTCTCTTTCGCTCTCGCATTTTATTCTCTGAGAGAAATAACGAGTCAATTTTTATTTATTAATTAATCGTACAATTGTAACTGTAAGATACACGCTAATCTCTTTCTACACACGCATGCCAGACAAATCTTTTCCTCTTAGTTTCTACCATCCCCGAAGACTTCGAACGAGAAATAAAAATTGTGTACAGAACAAAAATATATAGATAAATTAAAGCTCTGTAAGAAATGAATTAATTAAAGTGGATTGAAAGATAATTTTATACACGTACATGTTTTGAGATTATTCTTATATATAGGAATTGTTTTTTATATTTATTTTTTAGTATCCACCTATTATATCATCAGGTCAATTTTTAATTCGAAGGAAAAATATACTTGAAATTCTTACGAAAAATGAGATCCTGCTTTTATTACTTTGCAATCGCGTTTATCGTCACTTGAACGATAAAATAATGCCGCTAATTGTCGTATAAAGTCGTGTCAATATTCTACGAACGAGTGATTGATAAATATCTCGTAATTAATTAAGAATCATTCGAAAAAACTCACTTGCGTCCGCGCTTGTCGTCATCCTTTATACGTTTAAATTATCCGTTGAGTTTTCGACAACGGTGTCGTTTGAGCGACGCGCTCTGATTGGCTGCGCGATCCTTGAGCGCTAGCGCTCCGCGACGCGCATGCGCGGCACGCTTCTCGCTGCAACGCGCGCTGCGATTGGCGCTTGAGCGCTGCCGCGCAAGCGCGCCTTTTTCAAGGCTTTATAATGATACTCAAGTATCGCTCGCGACAAATAAAAATAGTCATTGATGATAAATTCAGTTTAAATAAATAACTGATTTTGCTTTGTGTCTTGTATGTTTATGGGAAAAGTTCTCACGATTTGATTCAGTTGTGTATATCTAGTTTATATATATAATTCTTATATTTATAAAAAGTGAATTATTTAGTTAAAACTGGAACGTATAAGAGGAGCAGGATGGCCTAACGGTTGGTGATGGTTTTATATTTATTTATTTTATTTTATTTATTTATTTGTATTTATTTATTTATTTTTTATTTTATTTGTATTTTTTAAATTATGGTTTTTTTATCCTGGATAATGCTAAAACTGTTATTCGATTTTAATTATGTTATAAAACTCATAAAAACCATCTCTTCTTTTAATTTTGACAAAAAAATTCGAAAGCAAAACAATTAAAAATTTCAACATAAAAATAACGATAACTCGAAAACAATGCATTTCCGGACCTATATTCATACCAACTTTTTTTCTTGTTTTTGGGTCCCCAATAATCTCCCGAGCGATTGACTCTCACTTTTAAAACATCCTTTATATTTAAGAAAAAAAAAAAGAATATACTCCGTCTATATATTTTACATATCTATGGCTCGAACCGCAGGATTTATCGACATCGACGCGCGTCGACTCTATACAAGCTCCCTCGTCCGTGACGTGTCCAATCAGAGTCGATCGTGACAGCTCGAAGTTGGCGAGAGCGAGCGTGAGATATCCATGCATATATTCAACGCGAACGGACAAGATCGGCAAATCCGCGAAATCGTGTAGCAACAGCGAATGAGAGAACGCGAGGGGGCGAGAGGGGCGAGGTGCGCGGGGCAGCGTGGTCGGTAGAAGTTGGACCCGTAGGTGTATCGTGACGCGAGGATCTCGTCGGCGTTCTCCGGAAAAGGGACAAAGGCGGTGATCTCCGAACGGACACGAAGACGAAGTCGCGGGGCTGCGAAGAGGTGGAGCGAAGGAGGGGAGTGGTGGGGCGACGGCGGCGGCAGAGTGAGGTTGGTCGGTGCGCGTACGTCCGTGGTTGATATACGTTCTCGTGCTGATTGGTATCGTCGTCGCCCGTCGGTACCGAGGTACAGTTCCAGCGTTCCCGAGGTTCGGAGAGCCGTGTGCGTGTGTGTGTGTGTGTGTGTGCTCGTGCACGCGCGCGCGCGTGGTGGCAAGCGCGGTCGGAAAGAGAGAAAGGAGTAGAGAGAGAGAAAGAGAAAGGTGGAAGGGTGAGAACGAAAGAGAGGAAAAGAGTGAGCATAATCAGGGGAAACAATCGACGGCACATAATCCGTCACTGTCTCCGTGACTGTCCGTGAAGTCCTCCGATGTCTAGTGCTGAGGTGGTGGAGAGCTCCGTTGATCCCCCAGCCAAGAAGCGACGCGTTGGTGCTGCCAGCACGACGGGAGGAGCCGACGACGAGCCGACAAACGTGGCGCAGGTAGACATAGACATGGCGAAAAACGGATCTACGAGCTCCGGCGGCAGCGGCAACGGTGGTAACGGCAGCGGCGGCGGCGCCGGAGGCTCCGCATCCTCGAGCGGCAGCGGCCGATCGCCAACCGAGATCGACGAGGGTCTCTACTCGCGGCAGCTCTACGTCCTCGGCCACGACGCCATGCGTCGCATGGCGTCCTCGGACGTGCTAATCTCCGGCCTCGGTGGTCTCGGCGTCGAGATCGCCAAGAACGTCATCCTCGGCGGCGTCAAGTCCGTCACGTTGCACGATCGCGAATCCATGTGCAGTCTCCGGGAACTTGGCTCGCAGTTCTATCTCACCGAGAACGATTTAGGTGAGGGTATGAACCTGCGCGAGCGCGCGCGCGCGCGCGCTCCAACGAGCCGCGTACATATACCGGTCGGAAACACGTGAGATTCGCCAAGGATGAAAAAGGCGCGCGCGCGCGCTTTGATAATTTTGATAGTGCTACGTATCGGCTGTGGAAAGTTTCGAGCATTTTTTTTCGCCGAATTTCATGTAGATTATTCAAGAAAAAACAACTTGGAATGAGAATTGATACATTCCAAAAGAGATGGAGATATATATGTAAAAAAAAAAAACTTCTCCACAAATATTGGCTTATTTTAACTGTACGCTTCTATTTGTTTCGCTTTCAATAATTTAATGCCCAAAGAGATGGTATATTAATAAAATTTGACATAAATTAGACTTTATATTCGATGGCATATTAAATAAATTTGACCCAAATTAGACTTTATATTTTACAGAAAAAAGAGACAAATTGAGAGTTTCGAAAGAAGTACAAGATGATATCTTTTATGTGTTATATTAAGTTTATAATAGTACATCTTAAAATTGAAATTAAATATAGAGGAGAAAAAATAGGAGTAAAAATATTTTATTACTTTAATTTCAATGAATTAAAATGTTGATTTAATGTTATAAATATGCAAAAATGTCTTATAAGTATTTATGACAATAAACATTACGATGAAAGAATATAAAATAAATTTTTCCATATATCTTTAGCATTAAAAATTGAATTTTTCAATTGCTCCAAATTTCTAATTATAAACAAATAATCCATAAATAAATACAAATTAATAAGTTAATAAATTTAAAAAATTGTAGCAATGAAAGGCTATTAACGAATTGAAATAAACCAAGTATGTATTTTAGCATCCAAAAAAGGAGGAGAGAAAAAATTGTAACAAATTGTATAGAAACGTGCAGTTAAAAAAAGCAGAGTTTACAATCGTACCTAAATTATTGGGCAATGGACAATTTTTTTTCCTATTGATACAGAAATAATTATATATAAGATTCTTTTGTTGAACGAAATTAATTTATGAGAACGATACCAGAGGCCTGCCTCTAGTCTCGTTGATAAATTCGTGCAATCTGAAAGGATAATCTCTAGGACGATAAGATTTAAATCGAGATAATGCAATATATATTGTTTGGTAAATTTTAATTTTACACCATTAAACCAAAGTTGTTTTTATCTTCACTATTTGTACTAAAATACCATAAAGTGCGCGCGCACTACTGCAAGTCATCATGAAAAGATCGTCTTGCATAGTATTGCTTAAGTCATTTCGTAACATGTTCTTTGTTTTATCTATCTCAATTAACAGATATCTACAGAATGTATGATAAAAAAAAAATATTTTGAACATTATACATTAAATATATCAAGTAAAATCAGACATTCATTAAAAAACAAAAAAAAATTGCATTAAATTAATATGAGACTATATTACTATGAAATATAGAACAAAACATTGAATTTGAATTAAGAAATATTTAGGCCATGTATATATAATCTATGGTCAAACAATATACTGTCATATTAATTTTGAGATTTAAAAATATTTATTAAAAACCTATAATTAAAAAATATTTTTTGTTAAAATATTATTATTATATTTATATATTAATTATTATGGTTACTCTAATGTTTTCAAACTAAAACAATGACTAAAACGAATAAAAGAATCGATATGCTAAAATTAAATTTGTTCAACAGGTAAAAATCGCGCGGCCGCATGCTGCCAGCGCCTGTCGGAGCTCAACAACTACGTGCCTACCCGTCATTATTCCGGTGACTTGACCGAGGCGTACCTCCAGCAGTTTAAGGTCGTGGTGCTGACGGAAACGTCGCTGGCCGAACAACTGCGCATCTCACGGATCACCCGCGCCAACGGTATCGCCCTCATAATCGCCGACACTCGTGGCCTCTTCTCCCAGGTATTCTGTGACTTCGGCGACACTTTCACGGTGGTGGACATGAATGGCGAGCCGCCGGTGAGCGCGATGGTCGCTAGCATTTCCCGCGACAACGAGGGCGTCGTCACTTGTCTAGATGACACTCGCCATGGTATGGAGGACGGTGATTACGTGACATTTTCCGAGGTGCAGGGTATGATCGAACTGAACGGTTGTGAGCCGATCAAGATCAAGGTGCTGGGACCGTACACGTTCAGTATCGGTGACACTTCCAGGTGAGACATGTGTAGTTGTAAGTGTGTTCATTATTTCTTGCAAATTTATTATATTTAATTGTCCAATCTAAAGGGAAAGAATTACTCGATTATATAAAAATATCCTACATTTTCTCTCTGTTTTCAATTGTGACAAATATTGTCAAAATTTAAGTCAGATTTATATTGTCAAAATTTAAGTCAGATTTATATTGTCAAAATTTAAATCAAATCAACCAAGCTTTGCACTCTGCCAATTTTTCTTTATTTTATTTCTGTAATTAACAATTAATGCATATAATAATTATAATACTATTACAATACATATTATTTTTAATAATATTTGTTTCAATTTAACGAGATAGATCTAAGATCAGGATCTAATCAAACAAACCGAATATCTCCAGGTTCTCCGAGTATTCACGTGGCGGTATAGTGACCCAAGTTAAGATGCCGAAAACTTTATCCTTCGCGCCGCTGGACGTGGCCCTGAAGAAACCCGAGTTCCTCGTCACGGACTTTGGTAAATTTGATTATCCGGAACAACTGCATCTGGCCTTTTTAGCGCTACATCAGTACAAGGATAATAAATGTGCGTTGCCGCGATCATGGAATCAGGCAGATGCCGACGAGTTTATCACCATCGCTGAGAAGGTCAAGGATAAATACGGTTTCGATACCGAGATCAATGGTGAACTGCTGCGCACATTCGCCAAGGTATCCGCCGGCAATCTAAACCCCATGAACGCCACAATCGGCGGTATCGTCGCTCAGGAAGTGATGAAAGCTTGCTCCGGCAAGTTCCATCCCATATATCAATGGCTGTATTTTGACGCCATCGAATGTCTGCCCGTCGATTGTTCGGAACTCACCGAGAAGGAGTGTGCTCCTGTCGGATCCCGCTATGACTCTCAGGTACAGTAGAATGGGCGATTATATATAATTAAAATTCTTTCTTCTTTCACACACACACAGACACATAAATAAATTTTTAGAGAATTTAAAGAAAGTTGAATGTTAGACGTGATTCGACAAGTTTATAAACCAAAGTATTAAAAATTAACTTTAATTGTTTGATAATTATTAATTCGATTATGTTTCTCTTTTAGGTGGCTGTTTTTGGCAAAAAATTCCAGCTCAAACTCGGAAATTTGAAATACTTTGTAGTAGGTGCCGGTGCGATCGGTTGCGAGTTACTGAAAAATTTTGCAATGATCGGCGTGGGTGCGGAAAATGGTTGCGTTACGGTGACTGATATGGATCTGATTGAAAAGTCCAATTTGAATCGACAATTTCTGTTCAGACCGTCGGATGTGCAACAATCCAAGTCATCGACTGCGGCCAGAGTCATCAAAGGCATGAATCCGTATATGAATGTGGTCGCGCATGAGAATCGGGTATGTCCGGAAACGGAAAAGATCTATAACGATGATTTCTTCGAAGTGTTGGACGGCGTGGCGAACGCGCTCGACAATGTAAATGCACGCATCTACATGGATCGTCGTTGTGTGTACTATCGTAAACCTCTACTAGAATCCGGCACCCTCGGCACTAAGGGCAACACCCAAGTAGTAGTGCCATTCTTGACCGAATCGTATAGCTCGTCACAGGATCCACCGGAGAAGAGCATTCCGATCTGTACACTCAAGAATTTTCCCAACGCCATCGAGCACACCTTGCAGTGGGCTCGCGACAGTTTCGAGGGACTGTTTCGTCAATCCGCGGAGAACGCGGCACAGTACATCTCCGATCCACAATTCATCGATCGGACGCTCAAGCTGCCCGGTGTGCAGCCTCTTGAAGTATTGGAATCTGTTAAAACGGCCTTAGTCGACGAGAGACCGAGCACCTTTGCCGATTGCGTGGCTTGGGCTCGTTGTCATTGGCAAGAGCAGTATAGCAATCAAATCCGTCAACTGCTGTACAACTTCCCGCCGGATCAGGTGACCTCGAGCGGTCAACCATTTTGGTCCGGCCCGAAACGTTGCCCGGACCCATTGACGTTTGATGTTAATGATCCCCTACACATGGACTATATCATGGCTGCCGCCAATCTCAAAGCCAAAGTTTACGGAATACCTACAAATCGCGATAGAGATATTGCCGAAATTCTCGCAATTGTCAAAGTACCGGAATTTACGCCCAAGTCCGGCGTGAAGATCGCTGAAACGGATTCACAGGTAAAAAATAGATTAATGCTTCGAATAATTCTTTGAATGAGCAAAAGTTTTGATTTTCTATATAAGTGTTATTCAAAATTCTTGAAAATCTTCGAAATTTCGTGTCAATGTTAAAGTATTCGAAATCAGGAATTTTTGATCGATATAATTTTATAGAATCAAAAAAAAGGAGATTGAAAAATCGGCTCTATGTTTGCAGGTGCAAGTGTCAAACGGCAGCGGTAACATCGATCACGAGCGACTGACGCAGTTGCAAGAAGAGTTGCCAAAGATGGAGGAATTAAACGGCTTAGCAATATATCCACAGGATTTCGAGAAGGACGACGACACCAATTTCCATATAGACTTCATCGTTGCAGCGTCAAATCTGCGCGCTGCCAACTACAAAATCTCACCGGCCGATCGGCATAAGAGCAAACTGATTGCCGGCAAGATTATCCCGGCGATTGCCACCACTACTTCAGTAGTGGCCGGTCTCGTCTGTCTAGAGCTGTACAAGCTGACGCGCGGTGTTCGTGATTTATCACTGTACAAGAATGGCTTCGTGAACCTGGCGCTACCGTTCTTCGGTTTCAGCGAGCCAATCGCTGCCCCTAAGCTCAAGTACTATGACATCGAGTGGACGTTATGGGACCGCTTCGAAGTGAAGGGCGAACTGACGCTCAAGGAGTTCCTCGACTACTTCAAGGAACGTCACAATCTCGAGGTGACTATGTTGTCGCAAGGTATCTGCATGCTGTATTCATTCTTCATGGCAAAACCCAAGTGTCAGGAGCGCATGGGACTGCTCATGTCGGAAGTGGTCAAGAAAGTGTCGAAGAAAAAGCTGGAGCCGCATGTGCGCGCACTCGTGTTTGAGTTATGTTGCAACGACGAGGACGGGAACGACGTCGAGGTGCCGTACGTGCGCTATACTCTACCCTGACTCGCCCGCGCAACCTCCGATCGCGCCAGATGATGTCTACTTAACTAAGACACTTTTAGCCGGCGTACATCTAGTGATTTCTACAAATTTCTATTTTACGACGATGTAATACACAGAGGAGACGTTACCGCTGCCGATCCTCGTCTATGAACATCTGTATGAGGCACTCTCTTTCTTTCTGTATTTTTCTTTTGTATGTTCATTTCTTTTTCTTCGTTCTGTCGCATCCGACAGAACGTTTCTACCGCCAGCACTTAGTAGTAGTAATTTCAAGTAGCAAATGCGCCTGCAAAGTCGAATTTTTTGATTTGGTTAGCGAATAAGATTAGATAGAGTGAGCTTTGTCTCCAGGTTTTCTTGATCAGTCATTACTAACGTGCTGAATTATAGTATCAAAGGTAAAAAATCAAACAAATTGCTTTCATTCATATATTCTTTCGAAATAAACATTGGGACAAGTGCCTATTCCTATATTTTCCTATAAAACATTTTATTTCTGTGGGATATCCTTTTTTTTAATCTGTGAAAAACATAGAGAAAATAATTAAAAAGTTAATTTTTTTTTCAATTGATTTTTTTTTTTATTACGAATTACTAATTTTGTAAACTTATATAAATCGACAAATAAATTATTACCAAATTTAAGATAGATTATAAAGAAAACTGTATTGCAAATTTTTTACTTATCTTGATATTTGCAAAAATAAAATCACGCTCGATTTCTCATTTCTGATATGATAACCTAGTACATATAATTGCAATGACTAATCTGTGGAACCTCCCGATTCAGTTTCCTAGTTAGTTTTTAAATTTTGTCTTCTCTTTGCTGTATATTTTATTTCAATCAGTTTGCTCACAATACGCTATAAAGCGTCGCGATCGAATACAGAAAAGAAGAAGAAAAAGAATAAGTGAAGTCGCGTATGATAACCCAAATTTCTACAAGAAAAAAAATACAGTTCGATTTGCGTAGAAAATCTTTAACGAAGCGATTACTCTTTTCTAGTTAATTATTACATACAGACATATATACACATACAAATACACATGTTATATTGTATAGAATCGGGTGTAAATTAAACTATAGGTAAAACGAATATTCGAGAATCTTTAGACCGTTATATATTATTAGCTCAGTCTTTAAACGTAATTTCATAGAGAGATGTGTGAATAATCAGTATCGAGTTTTTAATTGACGCGGTATGCGCGCGATCTTGCCTCTTACTCTTCTCTTTGTATTTCTTGCAAACAATTTGCTATTTCAATAGCAAGGGAACAATTACTTGACACCTTTCTTTTCTCTAATTCTTTTTTAATTTTCTCGCTAATCCGAGATTCAATACACGCGTGCAGTAAGAGTTTATATAATTGATATAATTACGTTCATTTAATTTATCTGCTTTGCAATGTCTTTCTCGAATAATAATAATAATAATAGTAATAATAATATAATAATAATGGATAAACTATTGGCTAAGGCTGGTTGTTGTTACGACGGATACACTGCATTTAAATTTATAAAAAGATGTCTTTGAAGGAAAGAGAAGCGGCCGTAGTCGCGAGAGAACCCATCACTTTTTCTCGCGGATATATTTATAAAGTAGCTCGGCTAATTTTTTTAAAAAAAAAAAAAACTCCAAAAAAAAAAAAAAAACAAAAAAAAAAAACAAATTGCATACATTATAGAACTCTAGACCAAGGGAGATAAACAAAAATGAAAAAAGGAAAAATATTTTGTTAATTTTAGGATATAATGCGGATATTTATTATGTATCATTTCTCTCGTCAATAGATAACAAATAGATGTGTTTGGATTTCAAGAAGTATGAAGTATAATAATGTGAAAATAAAATGGGAAATATCTTTGTGTTTTATTTTATAATTACCTTTAAAATTATAAGTGCTCGGCAATTTCGTTTCGATAAATAAGCGCAATATTTGAAAGAGATGATTGAGTAAAATATAATTTTTTTTTTCGAACGCAAAGAAATTTAAATCGATATAATTAGCAAGTTCACTTTTTTCTATAACATAAAAAGGTAATTTATCATATCTTACTGTTCTCCTCGCGAATCAATAATCATCACTTTCTCACGTATTGATAAAACTTATCGTAACTGTGACAGGGTTTTTTGCGCATGCGCGACGATAGTGACAGATCGGTGATTTTTGGATCTAGTGTCATCGATGTCACGATCATTGGCTGTCCGAATGTTGATCTCTAATGAAACTTATCACTAGCTTTACGCGGCAATGCAACCTAACCTAACCTAACCTTTTCACAGACAAATCACAAAAAAAATGATATTATACCTGTAGTATGTATGTGAATCGAGGCCGTTTTTTTTTGAGGTTATCACGCGCAACGCTTGTCACCTGCAATAAGTTGCGTTGAATACCGTCAAGTATCACACGATGGAAGTGAAACGCCCAATTTATATTTGTTCCCTGATTTTAATTTTTTATTTTTCAACCGTTATTTGCGAAATCGAGCCGCGTTATGACGAGAAACTTCAATTACTCGCGACATCGACGGTGAGTTTTCTCGATAATCTTTCAAATCTTTTTGGCTGTAAATTATTTAAAAAAAAAAAGCTAATTATTGAAAAAAATTCTATTAAATTAGCAGGAAAATATTTAAATGATTTTGATGCGTTTAACTCTTTTAAATTTTAAGGAAAACGTTAAAAGAAATTCCCAAAAAGCCCCTAAAATCTAAATTTTTTAAAAAAATTAAAAAAAAGATCTTAATTTATAAATATTTAGATTCTAAAAAAACTGTATCTCACAAAACCAAATACTCTTGTTTTAACTTGTAAAATTTTTTTAGAAATCGCCAGAATTTGTGTCCGAGAAGCCGCAGGATAGATTAGGCTTTTTGCATGCTTTCATAGCATCTTTGTCGGTGATCGTGGTATCGGAATTAGGCGATAAGACATTCTTTATCGCTGCTATAATGGCAATGAAACATCCAAGATTAACTGTATTCGCTGGAGCGATAAGTGCCCTTGCACTAATGACTATTCTATCAGGTACCATTAATATATATATAAACACACTTTTTCAACAATTTTATGGAAATTATTTTTAAATAGTTTCGCATATAGACAAAATCTAATCTATAATCTCTATAGCAATTTTTAATAATAATAATAATAATAATATAAACTTATCTATATCTAAATATATTTGTGTTTATAAAATTGTCATCTTGCATGAATTCTCTCTCTCTCTCTCTCTCTCTCTCTAACTAGTACAATGCTCTTGATATTTTCAGTGACCATTATTGGTGGAGTGGTATTTTTAGTATTTGCCCTAACGGCGCTTTTCGTCAATCCCGTGGAAGACGTTTGAAGATCATCCTTAACTTACTCCGAAAATTTCTACCAGTATTTACTTTCTGAACTTTGTATATCGTGTATCATATTGCATATGAGCGTATTGTATATTTGTGTACAGTATGATTCTATACTCATCTTTTTACAGAATCACAACGTTAACTAAGAATTGGCCAGTTCCGGCCAAAGAACTGTCTTCTTAATAAATGTGGTAGATAATACATATATGTATATGCATATATACATATACATATACTTATATATAGATATTTGTGAATATAGCAATGGAAAATATATCTTAATTGACAATTAGATATTATATTAATGTCTGTGCAAATGTACATAAAATTATCAGTATTAATTGCAAAAATCATCAAGATGCCGCGTATTTATATCAAAATTAGAAAATTTTATTATTATTTCATTATTGTTAAAATATGTTCTATATATAAAACAAACATAATTTAATCATATTTTGAATAGTTTTGACTAGTATAACGATAACTGATAATATCAATATAGAGCATTTAGAGCGTGGAAATCCTTGCAGTACAATGATACTTTAAATTTGCATATCTAATTTGTCGGCTTATACAAATATGAAATATATTACTGAGTCGTACTTCATACGTAATAATTTTACCGTTTCTATTTATATATATCATTTGTAAGATATTGAAGAAAAGTGGTTTTTTATCATATAGGGGGGAAGAGAGAGGACAAAATGATATAACATAAAGGGGGAAAAAAAAAATAAAACATACTAACAAACAAAATAATATTGTACAAAAATAATGCTGTATAAATGAGACTTGATGATGAAACAGAAAGAATGTAATAAAAGGAATGTTCATTTTTTTTAAATTAAATAAATAGAAAATATAGATAGAGTTTATAAGTTACTATCAATATGCGATATCGAGAGAAACTATTTAGAGAAGTCTATTTTAATTATGTATTGTAAAAGAGAAGCTTATAATATATTGAAATAAATAAATATTATAAAATAGGAATATTATAAATATTGAATTGTTCCATATGGAAATCACAAAGTAATGTATGAGTTTCCTAGTGTTTCCACAAATTTGTAATGTGATTTAGAAAATCGTAAAAACTAAAAACAAAAGAATGTTTTTCTAAACCTGTAATTTTCGAAATCCAACATTTCATATGCAAAACGATTTGATATGGAATATTGTAGACAGACGAAAAAAAAACCATTCAAGAGTTTGTGTCCATATACAAGTTCTCTTTCCTTGTGAAACACACGTTTTACAGTTTTGTCGAATATCACTTTTATTAGTGCATATATATACATGTTCTATTTACACTACAGAATATGTCTTCGGAAAAAGCGGTAAGTTCTCAAATATAGCAATTTCGAGTCGTATACTCGTAAGATATTCAGATAGTAAAGCACATCCTAATTTTTTTTTTTGTTATTAGCTACGCTCTCTTCTGTTTTACTTTTCGGGATCAATAATAGAAATGGTGGATACATTTTTCATCGTTGAGCCATAAAAAACTTGTAACTTAAAAATTTTTTAGTCACAAGTATCTCTACAATGATAATTTAATACAATAAAAAAATAATTGCATTATAACTTTAATCGTACTTTGTGCGTGTGTATATATGTGTGTATTTTTCGTTATTACAAATACTTTTTGTAGTATAATAATTAATTTATATAATTCGTATAATTTTTAGAATTTATGTGATTAAGGTAAATAACATATAATTTAATTTATCATAAGTTAATTCGTAATGGACAAATAATTTGTGTAAAACTATAGTATTGTCAGTAAATACGTATGTAATTCGTTAACTCGTGAGATTTAGTTCGTTCATTTGTAACCGAGATATTATTAAAATTGCTCGAGATATTTTTTAAAGTAAAATTATATCGATATTGAAACTTTTAGTTGAATATTCGACATGGATTCTTTTTTTCTTTTTTATCCCTGAAGATTTACGTTTCCAATTTTTGTAACTTTTTGAATTTTTTAGTTATGAGCTTTTTACGGCTCAACGTCACTTTATTACATCGAGCGATGCTATCTCCATAAATACTGAGAGGGATATGATAGAGTTTTGCGTCTTAATAAATAAAACATCGCTGTTATTTTCGCGAAACCTCCTGTGTGTTTTTTTTTACCTTTCATGTAAAAAGACGATACTTATTCTCCACAATGGAAATAAATATTTCTAATATTTTTGCAATTGGATTATAAAGAAATAAAAAAAAAAAAAATATTCGTTATCTTTATAGATCTCTCGCTATTTCGTGCGATGAGATACCACGAGATATAAAAAATCGCATTGATATCTATCTGAAAATTAATAATATCTTGTATTGCAAGATTGCGTGCAAGATTAGATAGGATAATGTTCGTCTAATGTTAACGCGCGAACTTTATCAATTTTTTTCTTAAATGCAATTTTCTCGGATACATCCGAATATTACAAAGTATCGAAGATGTTTAATGACATATTGTCCAAAAACTTTTTTCTTTTGCTAGAATGGAAGATTTCGCAAAAATAACGATGACACATAATGATAACAAAATTGATCGTTTTGAAAAAAAAAAAACGAACAAATTTATTTAGAGGACAATGCAAAATCTTAAGTTAAACAACATAAAATAAAATCAGATTGCGCGCGATACAATATGATGCTCGCGGAATCTTGCAAACTTCGTATATATACCGGGTACACCGGACTACATAGTCGAGATCTTACGTAAATAGTAACATTATTATCAACTATACATAACTGCTGAGGAAAAAGACAAATCATATTCATCATTAACACGCACGCAACATTATCATTATATTATGGAAACGTAATATAAAACGCTGGATCGTTACGATGTACAATGTCTGTTCGATGTAGCGTATATATCTAACGGCGCAACTACATTATCATGTTCTACATTTGTTCAAGTCTTCTGCTAACGATAAATTAATGACAAATGACCGATATTAATTCATCGAGAATAAGTAATCAGACTGTCTCGTACGAAAAAAAAAAAAAAAAAAAAAAAAAAAAAAATCTTTATCGAATACTAAACAAAAAAAAAAAAAAAAGTCTCTCGAAAAAAAAAAAAAAAAAAAAAAAAAAAAAAAAAAAACATTTATACACAAAATGACTCGCTTCAATCGAAAATAATCAGCGGTGGACAATACGGTGGAATCGATTGTTTCAAGAGACGCGAATAAAGATTTCAGACAAATATTTCTTGTCTTACACATATATATATATGTATGGTGTCGCTTACCTAATTAATATACTTTATGCATGATCGTTCACGGTGGATTCGACTGGGAAGAAGTCATTCTACCATGTGCTTCGAGGACTCGGAGTTTCTCGAGCCTGTACATCGGGTCCATCATGTCTTTTTCATCGGAAACCGCTGCTAGAGATTCGGTGGTTTCTGTTTTATTTAATTTATGTCAGATTCCAAGATTTGAAAAAAATTCTGTTTTTTATATCGCATCTTCTCTTTTATAGATCTTTATTTATGCATTTGATCGTTAAGTAACAACGTGTGTTTTATTAATATTAATTGTCTTACACCCGCAACAATTAATTAATGAAATCAATTACCATTACTTACCCATAGAATATTGATTGTTAGCTTGCGACAGAATGTTCTGGTTTTTTCGCGCTTGATCAATCTCCCTCAGTCCCTGTTCTATGAAATCTTGGAAAAACTGATGAGACTTGACCAGAAATGGTTGTACATCAGCTTCAGGGTATTGAAGTTTGAAATCATACAGTTGGACTAAGCCCTACAAAAAAAAAAGAACCAAACCAACTGTTTAAAAATGTATATTGAATTATAAAAATATTATTAAAAGCTTGAAAGAGAATATTTAAGAAGTACATATCAGCCATTTTGAATTAAAACGATAGAAGCGAGAAAAGATATGTGTAAATATTCCGTATAAAATATTTTATAATTATGACAATTTCGGAATTCATGCTATACATTAAAAAAAATTAATTTTCATATGTATATACATACTTCCTGCATGTGCTCCTTTGACCCGATTTTCTTAAATATTTCCGCCAATTGTTGACGTGTAGACTTTGACAGGTGTTTCTGCGTCCTTCCCGCGTTATTAGATTTGGGCATCACTTTCGCTGTGGCATTAATCTCATCCGGTTTAAGGCTCTGTTTAAGGCAAACGTCGCTAATTAATTTCCATTATCTATTATCTGACATCTATACGTAATAAATAATCCAATGTTAATGATATAATTAATGTAATATATATTCTTTCATAAAATGGAACATATATACGTAAAAAGCAATGAAAAACTAACCGCGATTAATCTTATTAAGTAAGCATGTAACTCAGATTCGTTAGTGTTGTTTATCAATGTCAAGTGATTAAGTATCGAGCTGCCTTTTACTCTGGTCATACTGTGAAGAACTGTCTTGACTGTCCGTAATGGAGTATCGGACTTTCGCTTCTTCCACCATGTAGTGGGATAATCCTGTAAAAATTGAAATTTTATATATATAACCAATCTTTAGAAATTAAAATATAAATATATTATAAACGAGTTATTAAGAATAATAAATAAGTTATTAAAATAATAAGTTATTAAAATAATTTTTTTATAAAATACCATCTCATTTCAATAACCAGACATTGCACAGATAAGAAGCCATATTACCTTAAGGAAACGATGTACTTCCAAAAGTATCGTATCGTAATCCAAATCAGCGGCCCAATTCGACATTGTTTTCACTATCTTCCATAAACACTTCATTACTAGCTCCTCGTACTTTGAGGGAACATTCGATTCGGCGCAAGAATGAAGTAGCTTGATCAATACACTGGAAAAGAACGCGATAAAAATAGATTATAAAAGAAATTAAGATGAATTTATCAAATTTCATCAATTTGTCTTACCATATGATAGTGGTGTGATTGGAATTGTCGATAATTTTCACCATGATGTTATTGATTACCCTATAATACGCTCCAGCCTGATTTAAATGCTCCAGCTTGTTCTCGGCCAATAGGCTTATCATCTGATCTACCAATTCTTTTAAGTGGATAAAAGGTACATTCTTCCCGAGAAATCCAGTATCATAGAACTGAAGAGAAAAATCCTTATTAAAATCGCTAATTGATACTTATTAAGATCTCTAATGCACAAATGTATTTCTGAAATCTTACTAATATATCTAATAAATTTTACTAAAAGCTTGCATTGAAATATGTTGTTGAAATGCTTTACACTTTTGATTTAATAAAATCATTTATCAAAATTTCTTATCAACATCTCTTATATTGAAATATTTTATACTTATACAGCATGTTTTAATTTTTTTTAATGTGTTATTATAATTGCTAGTTAAAATACATAATTCGCAAAATAATATACATTTGAAGTAATAATACTCACCACGAGTATAATAAGGAATGTATTTCTGAAACCTCTCGACACATCTGCATTTTCTTGACGTAACGGATATGTCTGTAATAGCTTCAGTTGCATGTTTATCGACCCGATAAATTTGTCCTCCTTGGATTGCAAGGTAACTGCTTGATGGGATTTTAATAACTGTAATGTAGAAATATTATATAAATATTATATAAGTATCTATACACATATACAGAAATTCAGGAAAAAAAACTTAAAGATTCTTAAAAAATTTTCTATTTTATGACTTATTTTGTTTCAATTCATGGACAAGAGAGGCTAGACTGTTAATCTAGCAATTCTGATTATGTTGATGCAAAATAGATTTTGAAAAGACTATGGTACATTGATAACTACACATTAAAAACAGTAGATACAAACATTTTCAATCGCATTCATGGACTGTATTGCAGTGGGCAAGTCCATACTGGCCATAGACAAGATGTTACGCTCTAGTGTATCATCCTTACTACTAGTAGTAGCAGGTGATACAACAGACGACGACTTCGATACTAACATTTTCGGCGGCGAAATCGGTATCATCCTAAAAAATTTCGACATAGAAAATTATTAATTTATTTAATAAATAATTAAACATATTAAATATTTAATTATATTATATAGTAAAATAATAAATTATTTAATTAAATAAATAATGTATTAATTATATTTTAATTAATATCTATTAATCTACTAATTTCAATATTAATTTTCTCATTAAGCTTTAGCTTACTGTATCTTAGGCGGGTTCAACATGTTCACTGGAGGCTCGTTCAGATCTGATAAACTGGGTTCTGCAAGTATCGGATTACGACATTTTACTGGACCTTCAATCTTCTGCAGGAATTCCATGTCCAGCCCAAATGGACCAGAGGGAACTTTTAGTTGAGTTGAAGTAGGAGAATTTCTGGAAAAAAGCAAACGCATTCTTTATAAATAGGTCAATAAAATTTGAAATGTAAGGAAATAACGTATACAAATCGAAACTCTAATATTATATTACTAGCAGATATGTATAACAGTATTCATTATTTTAGCTACCTACATCTCTAATTACCATTCATACTTCCACAGACACATAAAAAAGTATTATCACTATAATAATGTTTAAACAGAAGGTTCTGAGATAAAAATATTTTGGCATATATAAATATATTTTCAAATATACATATATATCTATGTATATATATATATATATATATAAGATTCTCAAACAAAAAGTTTTTATATAATAGTAAATTAA